CCGGAAGCTCGGGTCCGCCTCCCGCCGTCGCCAGAGGCGCGGCCCTCGCGTCCTCGCGCTCACGAGTGCCTCCTGTCCCCTCCCTCAGCCGCGTCCCCGGAGCCACCCGGCGAGGCCGTGCTCGCCCCGCGCCTCACCTCGTGGGGATACGGGGACGGACAAGGGAATCCCAGCTGCGAACTGTAGCCGACACAACCCGCTGCGGACGCCACTCCGCCTCACATTCAAACCCCAGCAAAATGGCGCGGCGGCCAGGCTGCAACCAGAGCGCATGTGCGAGAGGAGCCGCGGCGGGGGGCGGAGCCAGGGAATGCCCCGGCCCCGCCCACGCTCCAAGAGCCAATCGGAACAAGATTGTTTTGCGCTGACGTCATGAGGATTTTTTGCCCTTTGACACCTCCAACAGACTTCTCAATCCCGGGGTTTCCAGAGGGGAAGGCGGATCGGGTTTCCGACTGCGGGGCCGTGTCCGGCGGTGGACCGAGCTCAGTGCCGCCAGAGGGAACTTCCGGTCCCTCATTAGGCTTCTGTTTTACAGGTAGAAGAGAAACAAGAAATTTCTAGCCGGGCTCCGGTGCCTCACGCCTGTCCTCCTCGCTACTCAGGAGGCTGAGATCTGAGGATCGCGGTTCAAAGCCAGCCTGGGCAGGAAAGTCCGTGGGACTCTGACCTCCAATAAACCACTGTGGCTCAAGCGGCAGAGCGCTCGCCTTGAGCTGAAGAGCTGAGGGACAGCGCCCAGGCCCAGAGTCCAAGGAAAAAAAGAAAAGAAAAAAGAAATTTCAAACCACGCCGGTTACCCTAGCTACTCAGGAAGCTGAGATCTGAGGGTCACAGTTCGAAGCCAGCCATGAGACTCTCAACTCCAATTAGAGCTGGTGGCCCAAGTGGTAGATCACTATCCTTGAGTGAAAAAGCACAAGGACAGCAACCAGGCCCTGAGTTCAGGCCCCACAACCAACACACAAAAATAGGTAAATAAAAATTCAGCTCTGACAGGCAGAGACTTGGAAAGTAAATGGGTGATCAGGGAAGCCAGGTGATCAGGAATGTCCCTATCAGGACAACGCTGACCTTTCAGCGAGGAGACAGCTGCCTGAAGGTTAGACTGGCAAATTCCCAACTAGACAGGGCCTAGATTGAGCCAGAAAAGCAAGCCAGGTGATGTAGCCCTCTAAACTAGTGCTTAGCCCATTCTAGCAGAATATATATATATACAATATACATAATATGTAGCATAATAATGTAATATAGAATATTATTTGCATAAGTATATATATTTACAGGATCAAGGCTGGTCCTCTACTACTTGAGCCATAGCCCCATTTTCAGCTTTTTTGCTGGTGAATTGAAGATGAGAGTCTCAACTCTCCTGCCCACCTGACTTCAAATTGCAATCCTCAATCTCATCCTCCTGAGAAACAAGGATTGCAGGTGTGAGCCACTGACATCTAGCTCCAAGTTCCTATGTATTTCTGCATAGGAGCTTGAAAATGATGTTAGTACCATGCTAAGTGTATGTTCTGTCCACAGGGGACAGTGATCCCCATTTTCTACCCTGGTTCATCTGTTCTCCAGCACATCATAAACACCCCTGGTGTGATGTGAGAGAAGTGTCTTTTCTACCAAAGTATATTGCTTCCTGTCAGTCTTGTGGAAATTATTTTTCAGCAAAGTTCCTGCTTTGGCCAAGTGGCTTAGCCCTTGTTGATTACAGTTTCTTTTTTTTCTTTTTTATTGTGAAAATACCATACAGAGGAGTTACAATTACATGAGCAAGATAATGAGTACATTTCTTATCAAGCATTGTTTCCTCCTCCTTTGTTTCCCCTTCCTATCCCTTCCCATCTCCCCCCCATATTTCCCTCTCTTGGTCCCCCTCCCCCCCCCCGCCAAAGTTTTAAAGTTCGTTTTTTGACATAACAACTTGTACATCTCATTGTTGCAATGGGTCCACCTGTGTCCCTATTTAAACTATTTGTTTTTTCCTTTCCCCTCCACAAATTATACCAACATTAAATACAATGAAAGCAGGGGTTATATTGTGGGGGGTACATTTTCATTATATCCCTTTCCTACTGCACTTTAAGACATCCTATTAAAAGCTCCTTGAAGCTGGGTGCTAATGCCTCATGCCTATAATCCTAGCTTCTCAGGAGTCTGAGATCTGATGATTATGGTCTGAAACCAGTCCAAGCAGAAAAGTCAGTGAGACTCTTATCTCCAATAAACTACTTAGAAAAAGCTAGAGCCAGGTGTGAGTGGCTCACACCTGTAACCCTAGCTATTCAGGAGGCTGAGATCTGAGGATTCCTGTTCAAAGCCAGCCCAGGCAGGAGCACTCATGAGACTATCTCCAATTAACCACCAGAAAACTGGAAGTGGCACTGTGGCTCAAGTGGTAGCTCACACCTGTAACCCTAGCTATTCAGGAGGCTGAGATCTGAGGATTCCTGTTCAAAGCCAGCCCAGGCAGGAGCACTCATGAGACTATCTCCAAAAAAAAAAAAAAAAGCTGGAAGTGGTGCTGTGGATCAAGTGGTAGAGTACTAGCCTTAACCACAAAGAGGTTCAGGGTCAGCACCGAGGCCTGGAGTTCAAGCCCTAGGACCAGGGAAAAAAAGGAAAAAAAAAAACACAAAAAAAACACCTTGAATTTTAGTTACATCCTGTTAATTAATCCTTGTCCTTTTTCAGATTGTGAACCTGAGCCCAGCCAATCCAAGCAGAGGGGCAAGGCCTGCTGAGTTAGAGATAAAAAGGGAGCAGCCTGTCTACTCTGAGTGCTCGCTTGCCAGATTTTAGACTGAGAGTGAGTGCATCCTTCTGCAGCAGTAAATTTTGCCATGCCCAAGTTCCTTTCAGGTGGTGCTCTTATTTCCTTTTTTTATTATTAATTTACTTTGTTATTATAGAGGTGATATAGAGGGATTACAATTACCTGAGTCAGGTAATGAGTATATTTCATTTTGTACAGTGTCTTCTGTTCCCTCATTCTCTCACAGTCCCTCCCTCCCATCTCTACCCATGAGTTGTGTAGTTCATCTTCATCAATGTCCACTGAGCTCCACTGGTGCACTTTTTCACCTGGTGTCCATAATTCTTTTTTATTGTGAAAATACTGTACAGAGGGGTTATAATTACATGGGCAAGATGAGTACATTTCTTATCAAGCATTGTAGCCTCCTCCATTGGTGTCCATAATTCTTTTTTTTTTTTTTTTGGGTCCGGTCATGGGGCCTGAACTCTGGGCCTGGGTGCTGTCCCTCAGCTCTTCAGCTCAAGGCTAGTGCTCTTCAGCTCAAGGCTAGTGCTCTACCACTTGAGCCACAGCACCACTTCCGGCTTTTTTCTTTTTTCTTATGTGGTGCTGAGGAATCGAACCCAGGGCCTCAGGCATCCAAGGCAAGCGCTCTTCCACTGAGCCACCTTCCCAGCCCTGGTGTCCATAATTCTTATGGGGCACCCCAACAGCCTAAGCCTGCCTGCCTGCCTGCCTCCCTCCCTCCATCCCTTCCTTCCTTCCTTCCCTTTCCTTTCCTTCCTTCCTTTTTATTGGTTGTGGGGCCTGAACTCTGGGCTTGGACGCTGTCCCTCAGCTCTTCAGCTCAAGGCGAGCGCTCTACAGCTTGAGCCACAGCACCACTTCTGGTTTTCTAGTGGTTTATTGGAGATAAGAGTCTCACGGACTTTCCTGCCAAGGCTGGCTTTTAATCGTGATCCTCAGATCTCAGCCTCCTGTATAGCTAGGATTATAGGCATGAGCCACCAGCGCCCGGCTAGCCTGAGCCATTTCTAACAGTGAGATCCCTCCCTGGGTGAGACTGTTGGGGGAATCATTCTTGCAGTGGAAGAGTGGGCCTGGAAGGGGAACTGGTGTGCTAGGCAATTTATTTTTATTTTTATTTTTTTTGGGGTCCGGTCGTGGGGCCTGAACTCTGGGCCTGAGCACTGTCCCTCAGCTCTTCAGCTCAAGGCTAACGCTCTACCACTTGAGCCACAGCACCACTTCCAGCTTTTTTCTTTTTGCTTATGTGGTGCTGAGGAATCGAACCCAGGGCCTCAGGCATGCTAGGCAAGCGCTCTACCACTGAGCCACCTTCCCAGCCCTAGGCAATGTTTAAGAATGGGCTCCAGAGCCTCACTGCAGGGCTGGGAATCCCCCGGGGTTCTCAGGGCTGTTTCAGTAATTTGGTGGAGGACAAATCAGAGAGAAAAGCAAGCAGTGTAATAGTGATGAGTGGCTTTCCATTAAGTATTTGTGGATGGAATCCAGTGAAGTGCCTGAGAAAAGTGTCTTTTCTATCAAAGTGTGTCACTTTCTGGGAATTTTTCTTTTTTTTTTTTTTGCCGGTCATGGGGCCTGAACTCTGGGCCTGGGCGCTGTCCCTCAGCTCTTCAGCTCAAGGCTAGCCCTCTACCCCTGGAGCCACAGCGCCACTTCGGGCTTTTTTCTGTTTATGTGGTGCTGAGGAATCGAACCCAGGGCCTCATGCTTGCAAGGCATGCACTCTACCGCTGAGCTACCTTTCCAGCCCTTTCTTTTTTAATAATATCCTATTCTGCTTCTGTTAAGACATCCTGTTACAAACAAGCTTATTTTTAGTTACAACCTGTTCCTGTTAAGACATCCTATTTTTGTTTTTTAAAAAAAGATTTTACTCTCTTTAAAGTAGCCAATCATGAGCTAGGTTGTGAACCCGAGCTTACCCAATTAGAGCAGAGGGGCAGAGCCTGCTGCATTAGAGATAAAAAGGGATTAGTTCACCTGCTGTGTGTGCTTGCTCACCAGTATTTTGGCCAATGGTGTACCATTCTGTGCAGAAATTTTGCCTTGAGACTGTTCTTTGTTTTTCATGTCTTCACTTGACTCCAGTGTTTCTTGGAGAGCATTTTTATAACATGTCTCAGCCCAGGCTGTCTGGAACTTGAGAGTCTCCTGCCTCATTTTTTCAAGTACTGGGATTATAGGTGTGCACCACCACAGCAGTTAATAAGTGGCATTGAACAAGATTGATCGGCCGTTCTTTACCAGTAATCCAAGTATATTCTTCCTCATAAAATAGACAAGCGGAAGTATTTATTTTAAAAATAGGTAAGGGAAGGGATGGAGGGTGAGAATGTTGATCATAAACTGCTTTGTAAAATGGCAACTCCCATGTACAACTATTTAATGGTAAAAATATGCATACATATGTGTGTATGTGTGTGAAGGCTAAAGAATGCTGGAAGTGTTTCTCACAGAC